ATATATATATATATATATATATATATATATATATATATATATATATATATCGATATATAGATATATATAGATATATATAGATAGATATATATAGATATATATAGATATAGATATATATAGATATATATCAATTAATATAATTTATATATACATATATAGATACATCATTTCAGCCAAGTACAATCACTTCTCCCTTGCACTTTATTTATTGGGATGTTGATTCCTATTTTTATACAAATATTAATGGAAAAGAAGTGAAGAATTATCCATTTGCATGTAATAATAATTTAAATATTTTCATCAATATTTAAAGTAACAATATGGGGGAGGGAGAATGCAATCAAGATATATTCAAACACATGTTTATCTTTGGAATTTTTGTGTTAGAGATGTGTACATATAACTGATGTGCCCCTAAGGCACTATACAACACAATAATACAAAGTTACATCAATAAAAATAAGAAAACTTGATAGATCTAAAGAGTCAACACATTATCCTACCCATGAAATGCATAGATCAAATGAGCAGTGAAAAATTATTCTAGAGAAATGTTTGTTGATCTTAGTACTAGTACTTTGGTACATGTTTGATTGCCAGTAGTAACCAGCAGGTATCTAATCCATTAAATGCATGAATTAAAATAACTTGGGTCCAATATCAAAATTGAAGTTTTAAAACAATATCCCTATACTCAAACTATGAAAAATCTTCTGTAGCTCTGTAGAAGGCAAGTGGTATTTCTTATTTTTTCAGTTTTGTCTAAAACCATGTAGAACAAGCTGTTGGAGGATGGAGTGAGTGAGGTTAATTCTTCGTTATTGGAGCTCCTTTATTTAAGATATCCTATAATTTTAGGGGTCTTACCAGAAACTCACGTAACTAATTGCAGACAATAAGATTGTAGACTTAACAAGGTAGGAGGATTTTCTTCTATGAATCTGAGGTCATCAACATTTTTGTACCAAATGGCCTGGACTGATGAGCCATTCAACAGCATTTAAGATGATCAATAGTGGTTTGCAGCAAGAGCATTGGCTGACTCTTACTGAGCATGAGCAATGCTTTCAAGTGCTTAAAAGTGAATAAAAGGCAGCAAAGATCACAGAAACTCTTTTGATAAAGAATCAAACATGGGAAACAAAACTTTAATACTAGCATCAAAAGATAGTGTACATTAAAATGACATCTGAAAACACAAATAAAGTCATTGTCCTCTTATGGCTTCAAGGGTGTCATGTGTTTCATAAGTCTGTCAGCATATGGCCATACAATTGTGTTACTCATGTCTGTCAGCATATGGCCATACAATTGTGTTACTCATGTCTGTCAGCATATGGCCAAACAATTGTGTTACTCAAGTCTATCAGCATATGGCCAGACAATTGTGTTACTCAAGTCTGTCAGCATATGGCCATACAATTGTGTTACTCATGTCTGTCAGCATATGGCCATACAATTGTGTTACTCAAGTCTGTCAGCATATGGCCATACAATTGTGTTACTCAAGTCTGTCAGCATATGGCCATACAATTGTGTTACTCAAGTCTGTCAGCATATGGCCAGACAATTGTGTTACTCAAGTCTGTCAGCATATGGCCAGACAATTGTGTTACTCAAGTCTGTCAGCATATGGCCATACAATTGTGTTACTCAAGTCTGTCAGCATATGGCCATACAATTGTGTTACTCAAGTCCATTTGGCTACTCCAACACACTGACCCTTTGATACACTTTGTGGCCTTTCTTGTGGAAGACGTCTTGAAAATCAGTTTCTGTTCCAGTTTTAACATTATTCTGATCAACCTTTGTTGTTTTGTTATCCCTTTTAACAATAATAGAATCCACCTTTTTGGAGACAGATATTTTTTGTTCATCAGTAGCAGTATTAGAATTGTGAACAGTACTCATTTCATTGTGACTTTCAGTATCAGTATAAGTATGCTGCTGCTGACTTCCTAAAGATTCACTCTCATGATTTATGTTACCAGCAAATTCACTTTTGACATTGTTATGATGGTCAACATTAGCCCCTCTTCCCTGGTGGTCATTTCTGATTGCTTTTTTGTAGCTCCTTTGACTCTGAGATTCTGGGACGGCGGCATTGAAGAATACATCCTGATCTTGAGCTCCCTGTTTGCTATTACTTTGGCTATGTGATGGAGACCTTTGAACACCACTGAAAGCTCTTCGGTACTGATAGTTGCCAGGTAAATCTTTCTGTCCAAGTGGCTCACTGCTAGCTTGGCTTTTCTTTTGGCCCCACTGCTGTTCTCTCTCCTCAAGTTTGTTAAATCTCCTCCTATTTTCTAAGCTCGGGTCCTTGCTGTGATCATACTTCCCCCGGTCAGCCCTGTTGCTGTACCTTCCCTCAAAATTTCTTCCTTCTCTTCTATTCTGTCCTTCTCGGTAGTTGTACCTTCTATCATCCCCCCTTCCTCTGCCTCGACCCCTGCCTCTGTGGAATGCATCTCTAGGAGAATTATGAACACCGTTTTTGATGTTCTGACTTCTTGTATCGGAAGACACTGGAGGCTTAGCTTCTACGGAGCTAGGTTGAATATTTAAAATGGTAGTTTCCCTACTGGAAACATTTGAACTGTCGTCTCCACTTGTCCTGCTGGAGTCCTTAACCGTGTTGGGATCTTTTGGTCCAGCATGCGCTGACCTGCAGGCATCTGCATAGGTGTGCTGGGCACCTTGCTCACTGAAGCCACTTTCAGAGCTGTTTGTTGTACCCGAGTATGACATGGCATCAGCGTCACCCAGGGAGAAGACAACTTTTGAAGCTTTAGGATTGTCCTTGGCACCTGATTCTGATTCACCTGAAGGAATTTCAGAATCATTGGTCGACCTGGTGGTGGCTACTCCCGATGTGGGAGGGGTCAGTGATGAGCTTGATGCCGATTTGCCAGTCCTAGAGGATGATTGACTTGCAGTACTCACACTACGACTCATTGTTGACCTCAGGTCAGGAAATAGCACATTTGTTGAACCTGGTATGGGTTTGGACATGGATGATTTCCTTCCAGCTACAACATTAGCCCAGAGGTTGGGTTGAGCTGAAAATGACAGGCATCTTTTTGTTAAAACTAAATGCAATCAAAACCATCCCATGTCACTAATAATGTTATTCAAATGGCCACATATTATTTTTGTCTACATTTAAAAATTCTATGGATCAATTTGACTCTATAAATCAGAGTGTGCACACCATCATCAGTGGTACCATACTACAGCCCATGTAATCAGTGTGTGCACTCCATCATCAGTGGTACCATACTACAGCCCATGTAATCAGTGTGTGCACTCCATCATCAGTGGTACCATACTACAGCCCATGTAATCAGTGTGTGCACTCCATCATCAGTGGTAACGTACTACAGCCCATGTAATCAGTGTGTGCACACCATCATCAGTGGTACCATACTACAGCCCATGTAATCAGTGTGTGCACTCCATCATCAGTGGTACCGTACTACAGCCCATGTAATCAGTGTGTGCACACCATCATCAGTGGTACTGTACTACAGCCCATGTAATCAGTGTGTGCACTCCATCATCAGTGGTACTGTACTACAGCCCATGTAATCAGTGTGTGCACTCCATCATCAGTGGTACCATACTACAGCCCATGTATTCAGTGTGTGCACACCATCATCAGTGGTACCATACTACAGCCCATGTAATCAGTGTGTGCACTCCATCATCAGTGGTACCATACTACAGCCCATGTAATCAGTGTGTGCACTCCATCATCAGTGGTACCATACTACAGCCCATGTAATCAGTGTGTGCACACCATCATCAGTGGTACCATACTACAGCCCATGTAATCAGTGTGTGCACTCCATCATCAGTGGTACTGTACTACAGCCCATGTAATCAGTGTGTACACTCCATCATCAGTGGTACCGTACTACAGCCCATGTAATCAGTGTGTGCAGTGACTCCATCATCAGTGGTACTGTACTACAGCCCATGTAATCAGTGTGTGCACACCATCATCAGTGGTACCGTACTACAGCCCATGACTGTAGCTGAACACATCAAGTCAACAACACACATTCAACCAACTAAAAGATTACCAGTTGATCTGGCTGCAGGCAATTCAACAGGGAAGAACGACTTTGACCAAGCGCCTTGCAGATTTGGGAAGCTGACATTGTGTGCTGTCAGGGCCAAAGTTGATGAGTGATCAGGTGAAGTTGGCATTGAGTTCTCACTGAGAACACTGTCACAATAGGTGGAAGTTGATTCTGGTGTCAACCTAGATATTGGCCACAAGTGGCACAATTATGAAAAAAAAATATAGTATTGTAGCCATAACTATAAATTGTTTCATCTGTTCATGGTACGATTCATTAGCAAGCACCTGATTTACATATGTTTTAAAGTTATCACAATCCCTATAGCGTTAAAGCCATTTCAACACCAAAAGTGTGTGCCAGCAATCCCCTGATCTCAATTGGTCTCAACATTTTATCCAAGATCTTTTCAGTCTAAGAACACACCTGTTTAAAGTCAGGACAAGTGATTTCTGATTGGAAGATGAATTCTCTGTATCTAGTGCATAGAGAAATCTTGTCATGCGTGGCTTGTGTACAGTTGGCTGAGGAGATATACACAAGTCAAACAAGTCAGACTGATTATTCAAATATCAAGAAGTCAAGATGCAGTCAGAGCTTTGAACTTAACATCATTTTAAGGACCAAATTGCATTGAATTGAATTATTGAACAAGGACAAATGATCATAAATTATACTCTATAAATATTGTTTGTTTACTTATCCAAATGTTCAAAACTGTTTAAAAAAATACATCTTTTTGTTCGACCAAACAAATTATAAATATGAAACAAAACCTGATAGATGTTATCTCTGTACAAAGTTCAAAGATACACATCAGAGACCCATGTGAAAGAACCTAATAGATGTTGTCTCTGTACAACACCTCAGAGACCCATGTGAAAGAACCTAATAGATGTTGTCTCTGTACAACACCTCAGAGACCCATGTGAAAGAATCTAATTGATGTTATCTCTGTACAACACCTCAGAGACCCATGTAATGATTTTTCACCAAAGAAATTCGCTGCACCCATTTTTTCATTAGACAAATGTAGAATACAAGAGGAAACATTTGATTTGATATTTTGTACCTTAAAAGTCTAACCTTTGAGACACCTTTAAAGCTACAAGTCTAAAACTCTTTATTGCTATTCAAACTGGTGTAATCTGTATTTTGATTGACCACTTTAATTGCCCTGCATTGCAGAAATAAACATTTTAATGTCAACACCATACCTCGTAAGTGACCACACACTCAATGGTCATCTCTTTGACCACTCCCTGGTACCAGGCATTCATGATGTAAGGTGGCTAAGGAAGAACATAATATCCTGTAATCAGTGAACACAGAGAAATCCATTGCTATATCACGTTAGTGAGTTAGAATAAATGAATACACAGTACTGCTCTTATTAATTTAACTAAACATGCTGAGATTCACATGAATCAAACGGCACAAATTTAGTATCAGGAGTGGCGGGGAAAGCAAGCTATTTAACAGAGATTGTCTTGAAATCTTTGTCCAAGATATAAGCAGAGGTGGTAATGACTGTAGTCTATTCAATTATAAAAGGGTCGCAGGCTGGGTTCATTTTGGAAACACATTTATAGGCAATACCTGCTTTAATCTGCATGTGCCGTAATCTGGATTCTTACAAGCAAACGTCACATCTTTGACCAAGGTAAGAACAGCTTTGTCTGGCTCCTCTTCAACATCAGCCTCCAAGTACATCTTCCACTTGGTTTCCTGTTGAAGGGTATCAAGTATCATTATAAATTGTTGGACAGTCATACAAACAAAATGTAAATGCTCACAATTATTATTTGTACAATTTAACAAAATGTGAGTTAGTTAGAATTATTTTATTAGGAACCATCGCCTTTTAAATGGGGATAGGACCAGAATCGTTAAGTAGCTATTTCTCGTGTATAGGTACCTCTTTATCTTTGGGAACCCCCTTTCATTAAACTGTCGATAAATCAATTTTAGAGAGCAATGTTGTGTTTTTGTAAGTAATGTGTGCCGGATTAAACGTTTCAGCGGACCGCATGTGGCCCACGGTCCGATGGTTGCCCACCTCTGTTAAATCTTTGAAACTGACAAAACCAAGACACCCTTGACAGTCGAACCCAGCATGTGAAGTACTGGCTTATACAACATAGGTCATGGACAGCTGACGAACCCAGCATTTGAAGCACTGGCTTATACAACATACGTCATGGACAGCTGATGAATTTTGGGAGATCACGTGAGAAACGTCCCTATTTTCTGTGCTCATTTGGCCCGTATTATGTATTCCCTTCATCTGCATAGATCTGTGTTGAGACAAGCTTCCTCGTTTAAAAGAAGACCTGAAACATTCATTTTCATTACTTCACTTGAAGGTCACACCCCCTTCCCCTGTCCATTGTGAGCAAGGCACAAACTACCCGCCATATCTAGCGCGGCTGAGACAAGGGGAAACGTTGTACCGTATCTGGGCTGTTATCTAGTCGCTTGTCGTCATACAGTTCATTCATCATGAGTTCATTCCAACGCCTGGTGCGTGGCAGGGAATCGTTTCAAGGGTCTGAACTCCCAGAACGGGACATTTTTGTGCGGACATTTCGCAAATATTCCCCAGAGCAGAGCATTTGCAACAGAGAGGATGCATCAACACATCTGTTATGAGCGTATTCCAGCAAATTCTTTTATTGTAATAACGGATGATATAAATTAAAACAGAAAGGTACTATATGTTGTGCCGGTATTGGTATACATATACTTTTTTTTCTTCAAATATAGGAAACAAAAGCGCGTATCATTTTAACAATAGAAAATGTCGGCAAGTGAAAGAGATTTATATTAATCGCATGTCCGTTACAGTACTCTAAGAGTCTATGCCCCTGATCTCTGCAACGCGAACTGAGATGACTTTTCAAGCAAACAGTTCCTGAAATCTCGCTCGCCCAGGTTTCCGTGTCCTTGCTGTGAGTTTGTTACGAACTGTGAGATAAACGTCTGCTTTTTTCCTCATGTCAGGTAGCCCAGTGTAAACAACAACATGAACGCTTCCTAAGGTGCTTCCCGGAAAACAGGCGCCAGTGTCGGAGAGTGATTAGATGGGTAGAGTGCGGGTCTCGGTGGGCAAAGTAAAAAGGATGTACCTTGCCCATGAAACATTTCTTCGCTGCGCCCAGTAAAATGAACGCATTTAATATAGCTTCTTTATAGGTCCCCTGAGAACAGCGAGGTGTGGACAATTTGAAATCCAAGACAGCATTTCTCAAGCGATCTACCGAAGACTGAAGTGAGAAAACGATATACTTTGAAAATGTACAAAATGAACTGTGCCAATGAATTGAAAGGAAATATATACTCACTAAGCTTAAATCATCCAATGAGTGGGTATAATACTGCATGCGAGTCGAGATTCGCTTTGTACTTTAGACTGTAGATCCTTAACATTGGTATCAACAAAACGGTGTTGTTGTTGTTTAAATCGTTCATTGAAACAACCACCATATCAATTGCCACGATAATTTGACCAATTTTGACGGTCATTGCAACAACTAATTCTTTTTTTTAAAACATACCATGCCCCAGTCCCTGAGATTTAGATACTGACATTGATATAAACTTACATTGAATAAGATGTCTTTAAGGATTGGACGAAATTTTAGCTATCCTGTATGGAGGTGGGGGGGGGAGGGGTGGGTAAATCATTCCACGTCTACTTATTTTAAAACTTTAATTCATATTTTTTCATCCAACTTCTTTGCTGGGTTGTATATCTAAATTCCCTTGCGCGTCAATGAGTAGAAAGTTATCAAACACTGCCCAAAACTTTCGTTGGTTGGCACGTGAAAGAATTGTGCATCCAAGATTTGGTGAATTTGGCATTGCGCTGAAAAGGACTGCCCACATTTGCCGTAAGATAAACGTAAGAAACCATATAGATGTTGGCTCATGTATGAGGAAAGATAACAGAAACACGTCTCTATGAATCAATGTACGACAAGATTTTAGACAGGAAAATAAAATAAGTTAATATGACATAACAAATAATAAATCTATAGTAATACATAGAGCAAGTGCCGTTCTCGTTTTATTGGTTCCTTTTTGTTTTGTTTTGTTGTTGTTTTTTTTTAAAAAGGGGGGGGGGAGGTGTGTTAGCGAATAATAAATAGAAAAGGTAGACATTGTATGTGTTTCTATTTCCCATGCAGCATTTAGCCAAATGTATCCCACATTTATTTAAAATGACATTTATAGTCCGTAAGTTTTTTAAATTTTTTTCTTTAAAAAAGCAACAACAAAAATGGTGGTGCTAAATGATAGCAGAGAATAACTACAGATACATAGCTGTATTAGCATCATCACACAAAGCTGGTTGTCATGGGAACATGTGATGGCGGTGAACTAACACCATGAAAAGATGAGACGAGACATCACAAGATGCAATGACAGCGAGAGCAGCCTGTGCCACCCAACGTTGCTGCAGTAGGAGATAAGGGGACGCGGAGTTGGATTATATCAGGAGATGGCGACCGTTGATAATCCTTCAACCCCATTGATGAATCTCTTGATGTTGATGGGCTGTGCTGTATGGAGCAAGCTAACTTCTTTTCAATGACATCCCTATATACATCTGTAATTGGTATAGTCTCTTGCATTTTGATGGTTCGAATAAACATTGGGGTGGGGAGAGAGAGAGAGAGAGAGAGAGAGAGAGAGAGAGAGAGAGAGAGAGAGAGGGATCAGTGGGTGTGAGAGGTTTATTGTATAGCTTTATCTTTGTTATTATTTGTATGTTTCTATTATGTGTGTATCTCCATATGTGTGTGTTGAAATGATGTGTGTATCTCCAAATGTATGTGTTGAAATGAAATTTGATGTTAAAGCCAACCCACAACACTTTTCCGTGACATAAAGTTAAACTCTTTCTTTAAATGTGCTACGGGACAAGTTAGTTTGGAACCTATGTTATACGCTACAGTAGTTAATTCTCAGTTCAAGAGGTGGTCCGTCTAGTGAGGCGCTATAACATAAATATTTACAACTCATAGTCTTTTTTTTTTTTTTTTCAGTTTTAAGCAATAAAGGTTTTGTTGCCATCGTTATGTCATGGCCGGTCTTTTTTTTTCTTTTTTTTCCTCTTTTCTACGAAGACTTCCTAACGCCATTTTTTTTATTTTTTTTTTTTTTTTTTTTTTTTCAGTTTTAAGCAATAAAGGTTTTGTTGCCATCGTTATGTCATGGCCGGTCTTATTATTTCTTTTTGTTCCTCTTTGCTACGAAGACATCCTAACGCCATTTTTTGTATTCACGCATAATTTCCGTTGAGTAATATTACCCAAAAGTCTTCATAAAATCAAATCAACCAATAGGATCCATCCAGTGGATGTGATTCAGTAAAGCAACAGAAAGCTACTGCAACTTTTGTGAGAAATACCTTGCGCCTCGTCTATTTTTTTAAAAATAATGTGTCAAATTTGTGAGAGATATGACGAATGCTCCGGATACTGCCCCGTTGATCGTGTTCACTCGCACTCATGTGGGAGGGCCACCAATTCTTCTAATGAAAGATGATGGCTCTAATGCAAAACCTCCCTGGCGCCCCCAGCCTCACGCCGTTTTTCTAAATCACATCCTGCGCGAGGATGGCAACACAGCGCCGCACGTGATTTTAATCTCTGGCCCGCTCAGACAGGTCGGTGATAAAACGTTCCTATAATGGGCATCCCTATAGAGATAAGAGTGCCAGGCACAGGCAGTGCATTCTAACCAGAAGTCATGCTAGCATCCTCATTTTTTTTTTGATAACACGTGACATCCTATTCACCAATGGCACGAAAACTGGTGAGGTCGAATTTCTGGGTTACAGGGTTTCCTCCAAATCCATTGTTCATTGTGTATTTAAGGAGCTGTGCACGCATTCTTGACATGGGCAAGAAATCCCACTGACGACTACATGCTTTTTTGGTGTTTTAATGTTGACTACAAGACAGCGGGAGTCGTTTGTTGTAATTGGGAACGTTATTTGCATTTAAAGAATCACCTGTTTATGCGAGAGTTCACAGACGCGAGAGTTCACAGACGCAAGAGTTCACAGACGCAAGAGTTCACAGACACGAGAGTTCACAGACGCGAGAGTTCAGAGACGCGAGAGTTCAGAGACGCGAGAGTTTAGAGACGCGAGAGTTTAGAGACGCGAGAGTTTAGAGACGCGAGAGTTTAGAGACGCGAGAGTTTAGAGACGCGAGAGTTTAGAGACGCGAGAGTTTAGAGACGCGAGAGTTTAGAGACGCGAGAGTTCAGA